GGCTTGGCTCTCTCCTTCTCCCTCTCCTCCGTTACTCTCTCTCTCTCTCTCTCTCTCTCTCTCTCTCTCTCTCTTTTTCTCTCCCTCCCCCCTCTCTCTCACTCTCCGTCTCTCTTTCTCTCGGTGGCGTTCTTCCTATATCTCCCTCTTTCTCTCTCTTTCGGGTTCGACCGCTAAGTCGAAGTCGCATTGCCGCCGCCGTCGCTGCCGCGGCCGTTTCTCAACCCTTTCGCGGTTACGTCATGTTAAAAAAGCTATTTGGGGTCAACACCCCGCGCAGCAGCGACACGTGTAGTACTTCTCGGTTCCTCCCGCTCCGCTCACCGCCGCGTCCTCCACCCCGCGAACGCGAAGACAGCCCTCTCCTCCTCCTCCTCCCTCCCTCCCTCCCTCCCTCCCTCCCTCCCTCCCTCCCTCCCTCCCAGCGACTCCTCCACGCGCGCAAGAGCGGTGACGCCATTGCTGCCACTTTCCTCTCTCCCCCTGTCTCCTCGTTCGCCTACTCTAAGTGTCCCTTCTACTCTCGCCGAGGTTACCACCGGGTTTCTAAGCTCCCTAGATGAGCCAGGGCCTCGGTCCTGTTTCTGGCGAGGAACGCGTGGTACCGTAGCCGCCGAACCTCGCGAGCCGCTCAGGATGGACGTGTTCGCCACGTGGCGAATAATGTCGACATCCGGTAATCGCGGTTGCGTGGATTGCGTTCTTTTATTCGAGAAGGAGATTAGCCACGATGCGTCCGTTAAGCGCTAACCCTCGTACGTGGAAGAAGTGGCCGCGATCATGACGTCGATCTCGCAATGCGTGAGTCTTCTTGCGACAGAGGATGATGGACGGAGAAAGAGAACGAGAAGCTTGGGAAAGATAAGATAGGAGACGGAATGAGAGACCCTCAGAGAGAGAGAGAGAGAGAGAGAGAGAGAGAGAGAGAGAGAGAGAGAGAGAGAGAGAGAGAGAGAGAGAGAGAGAGAGAGAGAGAGAGAGAGGAGGGGACGGAGCAGCCCCGAGCGATACAGCCCTGGCCGTGGGCGCAGCAAAGTGGTAGGAGAGGCCAGTTGAGTTTCTCCAAGAGCAAGCGAGCGAGCGCTCCGAGCTAGAACTAGCTAGAGTCTTGCTAGAGCGAAGCCAAGGACACTAGACGATCAGCAACAGCAGCCGGAGGAGTCAAACGGCAGCGGCGGCGGTGGCGGCGGCGACGGCGGCGGCGACGGCGACGGCGGTGGTGATTCCCCTTCACCCCGACCCACATCGTCTACGTGCGCGAACACCCCTCTACCCCCGTTTCCGTCGCCGTCCTCGCCCCCTCCATACCTCACCGCCGCTCGGCTCCCGCCGCCGCCGTCGCTGCCGCCGCCCCGAGAGTCTCTCTCCGTAGCTTCCCCTTCCAGACACTTTTTTTTGTCCGACTATACGCCTCTCGTCCATCGCGACAAGGCAGCCTCCGAGCCTTTTTATCAGTCGACCGAAAAGATCCGTGGGGATCCTGCCGCATCGCGAAAAACAGAGAAAGAGAGAGAGAGAGAGAGAGAGAGAGAAGGGGGAGGGAGGGAGGGAGGGAGAGGGGAAGAGAGAAAGAGAGCAGCAACCCTTGCTCATGCTGCGAACGAACACACACACGCACGCACACATGCATCGTATATATAAATGTACACACTTGTACACACACATGCGTCCCGCTGAAACGCGCTCTCTCTTTCTCTCTCTTTCTCTGTCTCTGTTGCTCTCGAACGGCCGAGGCTCGCCTCTCCCCTGATTTTCGTTCGCGAAACGGCGCGGGCGTACCGTTAAACGCGCGCTCTCTACCGAAGGGTGAGGGTGAGGGCAGAGCCGAGAGCGAGAGAAAGATCAAAAGAGAGCGAGCGAGAGAGAGAGAGAGAGAGAGAGCGCGAGCGAGAGAGAGAGAGAGGGAGAGAGAGAGAGAGAGAGAGAGAGGGAGAGGGAGAGGTACAGGCACGGAGTCCGCGCGATATGAACTTGTGGCGTGTTCGCGACTCTCGAAACCAGGGTTGTTCCAAACATCTCGTTTAAAACGGACGTTTGAGAAACGCGTCAGACATTCCGACGTTCCCTTTTAACGCGTTTCAAGCTAACGGCATGAAAGAGATATTCTGATTTTTCAAATGTTATTTTTTGTTACTCGTTGGAAACATATGCTGGGGATTGACAATTTGAAGAAGAAATATATATCATTCTTTCTTCAGCAACCCTATTCGAGACACGCGTGACGGGCTAAAAACGTGGCGCGATGATGATGGCGTAGATGTGTTGGGCATAGCGATTCGCCGATTCTTCCACGAAGGCACGTGGGTGTTATTGACAAGAGCGTCTCTCTCTCTCTCTCTCTCTTTCTCGTCTATCTTGCCTCACGGCGACGTGAGAACAGACGCGCGGGAGTCTCGTCGCCTCGGAACTTGGCGATCCAATGCTCTCGCAACTCGTCGGTGGAGGCAGAGGCGGTTTCGAGACGACCGTCGTCGGCGACGCGCAACAGTGATCGGTAGGTTGCTGCACGTTGAAGTTCCGTTGCGAAGCGACCTCGTGACGACGACGGACAGAGGGAGACGGACGCGGTCCGCCGCCGCCGCCGCCGCCACCGCCAACTGGCGGAAAAAAGCGCGCAGGCGCGAATCGCGCTCTCTCGCTACTAACCCGCGACGACACAACCAACTTACGCTCTCTCCCTCCCTCCTCCCTCCTTCACTCCCTCTTGCCCTTCGCCTGCTCCACGCTCGCGAATTTCCTGCCCCGAGGGAGAAGGTGGCGTGCGGGGGGAGCATCCCTCTCCGCGTGCACCCCGCGACGTTCGAGGTCGCTCCATCCCCACCCTCCCTGCCCCTCGGGAAAGGACTTCGGTCTCTTCTCCTCTTCTCGTCTTCCTTCGCCTTGACCCTCGCCCCCTACCCCCCAAAATGGTCAACGCTTTCACGCGAGTGAGGATGAAGTTTCTCGAGTTGACGGGTCGAATCCGTCTGATCGTGCTAATTTCACGCGACGGGCGAGTTTAAGGTCAAAGGGTAGTTTCGAATTTGACTGAGACTCCGTCGCGACGGAAGCGACGAAAATACATTAGCCCCCGCTGGTCTTTTTTCGTCTGTTTACCGCAACGTTTTTGAAGATGGAAGCACAACCCTTCGAAAACGAGGGGAAATTTAATCTCTAGCGGATGTCATCAAAAATCGTGAGATGTATGAAAGAAATAACTCGCACGACGGCTTTATGCTGTCTTGTCCTTTTTTTTACGATGATGTGTTCAGATTTTGCAAATTGCAAAAATGTTAAATTTTTTATGCGTCTCCATCGCCGTTCCATATTTCCGCGAATTTTTCGATTTTTATTAGATCACAATTCAGAGAAATTCAACTATGCGTGTGACATGGTTGATTTCCGAAATGGCACTCAAAGTATTTATTCTTGAAGTATACGAGCCGTCATAATTTTTGCAGTGTTCGCTGCGAAATGAATACTTTTCGACCGAAGGGTCGCACCATCCCTTAAACGCCCGGATTAACATATGGTGTAATATTCTTTGGTGCCTTGCAACATGTTGCGAGCCTATCGAGATACGCGAGGGCCACTTCCGACCCTTCCTTTGTGAGTTATCGTTCCATTGCGATATCCTGCCGACGAGGATCTTGGGCTATATCGCGCTTGACTTTTCGGTTGCTATCGCGAGCGCGGCGCGCGGGCACAGAAGTGGAATTTGAAATTGCAATGGCGGTGAGGAACGTCGGCGAACTGGGGGAGAGAGAGAGAGAGAGAGAGAGAGAGAGAGAGAGAGAGAGAGAGAGAGAGAGAGAGAGTGAGAGAGAGAGAGAGAGAGAGCGTGAGAACAAAGGGGCGAGAATAAGTGCCCTTTTTCGAGGGTAACCGGGGGTGAGGGTAGAGGGAGCAGGGAGACGAAGCGAAACACTGTCGAGAGAAGGACGACGCGAACGCAATCGGAACGAGAGAGAGAGAGAGAGAGAGAATGAGAGAGGAAGAGAGGGGGTGAGGAGACGAGGCGTCCATTCCTTGCGGGGGCTAACGCGAAGAAGCAACACAGGATAGGGTGGGAGGGGTGGAGGAGGTTAAAGAGTGTGACGGAGAGAGGTGCACGTCATCGTATGCGAAAGACCGACAGAGATACAAAGGAAGCGCGAAAGAGAGAGAGAGAGAGAGAGAGGGAGAGTAGCACAGTCGAGTGAAAAAGATACAGAGCGAAAGACAGAGAGAGAGAGAGAGAGAGAGAGAGGGAGAGAGAGAGAGAGAAAAGACTCGGAGCAAGATAGCAGGAGCAAGCAGGGGGTGCCGGGGGAACGCAAGCGCAGGGTGCGAGGGTGGGGGAGCGAGTCAGAGAGAGCTCGCCAGGGTAAAGAGCGTGAGAGGGTGTAGTGGGGAGCTGCTCGGTACGTCTCTAGGTGGCGGTGGTGGTAGAAGAGAGGTTGCGTTCTCTCGCGGGAGGTTGCGACGCGCTCTCGCGCGACTCCGACTGGACTCGGCTCGACTCGGTCATCGTCGGCACGGTGGTTCGTACGGTTGAACGAGGGCGCGCGAGCAAGCGAGGCGAACGTTCGTTCGTCCGTCCGTCCATCCGTCCATCCATCCATTGCTTCGTTCGCTCGCTCGTTCGTTCGTTCGTTCGTTCGTTCGTTCGTTCGTACGTACGTACGTACATACGTACGTACGTACGTTCGTTCGTTCGTTCGTCCGTCCGTCCGTTCGTTCGTCCGTTCGTTCGTTCGTTCGTTCGTTCGTTCGTTCGTTCATTCATTCGTTCGTTCGTTCGTTCGTTCGTTCATTCGTTCGTTCGTGCGGGTAAGTGTCGCGATTTTACTGCGCCGCCGCTGCTGCTGCTGCGTGCCTGCTGCGGTGCGCGGCGCCGACGGTGAAGGGTACCGCGAACGGAAGGCACGGCCGTGGCTGCTAGGCGGGCGTAGGCGAGGTTCCGTGACGGCCGTTCGGTGGCGCAGCAGAAATTCCCTGGCGCGGGTTGGTCAACGGGCAGGCGGTTGGTGTGCGTGAGT